GCGTGTTTGAACGAGGCGTTTTAGGAGGGCGTGGACGAGTCTTAACTTTGATAAAGAATATCTCTTTGGGTTTGGGACTTTAGTCTTTGCAACTTTAGGGATCTTAGAACTGCTTGAACTGCTTGTAACACTCCAAAGAGAAAGGAAAACTTGAAATCGCATCATATGACCCCTTTAAAAATAAAAAAAATAAAAATGCTACATTTTATTTTAAAATTAAAACTATTTAATTAATTTAATTATTAATAATTCAATGATTACTCAGTCACAATTCAGCCATTGTCAGATCAGAAATGGCCAACAACTATTCCTATTTTTATCAGCTTTTATTAGCTTAAGAGAGGTAATCAACTTACCTGTTACTTTATATGAGCAAACTGACAAATATCTAACAGATATGGGTCTTTTAAAAAAGAAAATCACTCCAAATGTGTGCTGTTGTTGTTGTTTTTTGTGCTTTGGATAAAGCAAAACATTTTACCTGCCAGCTGAGCTAACTAAATTTAAAAAAAAAAGCTAAACAGTATACACAATTCAGCAGCAACAACAACAACAATAATAACAATAATAAAGGATTTAAATCTAAATTCAGTGCGTGAGTGAACTGTGCTAATGAATCAAACGGAATCATTTTAGACCTTTTTGCGCAAACACGTTTGATCGACTCACTAGATCAAAAGAGTGATTCGTTCGCGAATCAAGCAGAAAACACACACAAACGCGACATGATTCTTGTAATATTATCTGGGAAAACTACTCTCAGGCCACTAATGTCCACTGACATATGAACTGGGACATCTTGTTCGTAAATAAACTGAGCTGAGCAAATATTAATAAATTAAGCTGTTTCGGTCAACTTGGAGTTATTTAAAAAGTCGGTTCAATTAATGGTTCGATGACTCACTCATATTACACAAAAAGACTCACTTGTCAATTCACGGCACCTACTCTAATAATAGAACGAATCTGAATGAATATTTTTAGTGAACTGATTCTCAACATAAAAAATGAGTGGAATGAATCAAAATCTTCATCACTACAGATGCATAGGTAACTGTGCAAACCTCTCACTACAACTACTAATCACAAATAATACATTTAAAATTAATTAAAGTATTCCTGCAAGAGAAACAAACCTTCCACTGTCGCAACAACATATGTCAGAGTTACATTGTTGACCACACATTTGTATCGTCCTCTACTCCTCGTATCTACTTGTTTCACAAGCAGCGATGCGTTGCCATCAGAGACGCTGCTGTCGCTGACGAGCCTCACATTGCCACGACTGGACCTCTGTCCCGCTTGCTGTAAACTGAGAATGAGCGCCTCCTGCTGGTACCACTGGATCTTCACATCACCATTAGTGGGCGTGAAAGAACAGGGAAGAATACAGTCCCCAGAGAAGATGCAGGTCACACGAACCTCTGCAAATCATCAACAACAACAAAAAAGCTTTCAGATGTTCCTGCATATACGAGAATGATTTATAGACCTTAGTCAGGCTAGACGCAGTACTGAATGAACAATTGTTATGTTGTTAAACAACAGTACAATCCACTGAACGCACAGTAGGCCTAGTTCTATCCTCACAACCTCGTTGTCAAATATATGGCTTTACCCTGACTAAGGTCTATTAGTAGCCTATCATTTAAAAGGAATAATACTTACTATGAATTTATAACCTTTATGTAGGGATTTCACATATTTGGACTCTTAAAATACATTTACAAATACATGAATGCTGTTGCATTAGCACTTTATAACAAAACACCAAATAAAACAACATTTGCAAACAAATCATTTTAGTTATTATATAATTTCCAGTCAAGATTTGCGATCTAATACAGTGATCATATGTGATAGCTGCAAATTCTGCCGTTTAGTTAGGTAGATTTGTTGGTAAAAGTTACTAAAAGTTGCTGTGATGTCATTGCGTGATTATGCCGTTACATAACCACAGCTCTCTTCAAGTTGTTGTGCTGTTTGGTCAGCTGTTCAGTGGTTTCCTCTTTTTGTGTGGTTTAGAGGGAAAATGTCTTTTTATCATTTGAGTCACTTTTCAAAAGTTGCTCAAATTTGCCAAATAAATTTTAAAAATAGCTATATTTGTTGCTAGCTGCTTTTTGAATGAAAAAAAAGTTATAAAATCTTGCAAAAAAAAAAAAAAAGCTAATTTGGCAACATTGTTTGTCAAATGCATATTTCTATAGCCCCAGTTTCCTCACCACATACTGCATGGGTGTGCATGTGTACAAAACATACATATATGCACCCATATGTATGCAACCTTCTTTCTCAGAAAAAAAAGTGAGTTCTGCTGCCCCTATTTGCTGTCGGGCCTTTTCTGTGAATGATTACAACTGTGTGTTCACCCATAACATCACTCTAAGAGGACATTTATCAGTAATGACCACTTATGACTGTGATTGTTTAACATTCAACAGCTAGAAGATTGTTTGGCTATAAATACCAAATAAATAGAGCAGCGGCAGAGTGCATGCTTTTATGTTGTGACACGGTCGTGGCTTTGCATGCATCGCAAGTCTGAGATCGCACAAGATTATCTCTTTATCTACAGATTAATCAGCATTGATTACATCTTTAAGTGTGCCAAAATCCTTGATGCATTGCAAAAGTTATTGTGTATTGGAACAGTTGTGGTTTTAATTCTGTTTCTTAACTTATCTTGATGTCTTACATGCAACACTTTCCTTTGTGCTAAGTGTCTAGTGTAGATCTAATATAGAGTGTCCCTAGAGAGGTCATGGCTAGATGAAAAATTCACAGTGACTGTTCCAAGTCACAAATGATGGGCCAGAGTAAATTCTAGCAGACTCACTCATCTCCTTCACTTGCAGACTATAACAAGGAGGGGCTCAAAAACCCATTAGCTGAAATTCTGCCTCCACTTGAGATCTAAGAGTAGCATCCACTTTAATTACATAAGGTATATTTATAACAAGCATTCATCTTTCCTGGCATCTTTTCAGTCTGGCTGATGATCTGTTGCTGGAATAATGCACATTTGAAACTGGCAGGTTCAGAAATCAAACAATTGTTAAAATATTGGTAACTAAAAATAAATAAATAAAACTTACACTTTTTGTAAATGAAATAAAGTTAAAATAAACATAAAATAAAATATAAATATTAGATTTTAAACGTATAAAATTATAAATCTTGCCTTGGCAACTAACTGAAATGCACAAGTTTAAGTTTAAGTAATAAAATAAAACTAAAACTGATGTAAAAATAAATAAAAACATTAAAAAAAATGTAAAAAGAACAAAAATTCTTAAACTAAAAAAAGTTAAACTAAAATTTAAATGAAAATGAAAATATAAAAAAGCTAATTCAAAATATCAATAAATATTATAGTAGTATATAAATAATACTAAAATAACACTGCCTAATACCAAAGTCCTTTTAAGTATATTCTATAGTCTTGCTAATACATACTGAACCTACATAATAATTTATGACATCTGAAGCAATCATGATGGGTAACTAAAATAACAAAAAAAAATAATTAATTTGAGCACTGGAAAGAATTCCTAAGGAGGAACTACTTAATAACTAGAAAACAGATGTCTGTGGATGATCTTGCCAACATTGATGCCTTATTCCATCCACTTGAATTACATAATAAGGTATATTCATAACATACTGTAAGTCTTTCCTGGCATCTTTTCAGCCTGGAAACTGTGACGTACAAACATGAATTGATAAAAAAGTGACTAGCTGAAAATGGCAGGTACTAAAATTAAAGCAGATCAAGAGCAAAAAAAAATTTTTTTTTACTTCAGATGAGTGATTCATGAACAGAACTTTGAATTGCTTGATTCGATCAAGGAAAGTGGTATTCTTACAAATAAAAACCAAAGGCATACTGGAAAAATGAGCAAAAAGTTACTTCACTTTCAGAAAAAATGTCAAAAATCACAATAAAAGTTAATCTTACCTGGAACCTTACATGCCACTAAGGAAAAAATCCATAAAACAACACAAGAGCCATAGTGGGTCCTTGACATTCTCCCTCACAACAATGTTTTGAAGCAAAGTAAGAGTGCGGGACTAAAAGAAAAGAGTAGACAGAAAGAAAACTGCTGAGAAGATGAGACTCTTCAAAGAGTCTCTCTCAGGAACGTAATCAGATCCTGTTCCTCTTTACTGTTTCACAGACAGGCAAAAGTAGCTCCTGCATCCACCTGAATGAGAGTCTTTGTGAATATAAAAACAAGAGAAAGTACATAGAGAAAGTTCCTCAGGTGACTTTTGAATATTGGCTCTGCTGTGCTGTGAACTTGCTGTGGGTATGAATGACAGAGAAGGAATGAGAGATAGAAAGAGAGAGAGAGAGAGAGAGAGAGAGAGAGAGAGAGAGAGAGAGAGAGAGAGAGAGAGAGAGAGAGAGAGAGAGAGAGAGAGAGAGAGAGAGAGAGAGAGAGAGAGAGAGAGAGAGAGAGAGAGAGAGAGAGAGAGAGAGAGAGAGAGAGAGAGAGAGAGAGAGAGAGAGAGAGAGAGAGAGAGAGAGAGAGAGAGAGTGGGTAGACAGGTTTTAACACCTCTTTCATAGATCATGAGTCACTAAATGGCAGCTGAAACCCTTTACCGCCTACCAAGTACTCCTGCGAATAATTTTACAATAACCTTCCCACATCGCCCCAGGCCAACCTTTCTGAAGCTCCTGGTCTTTTATCACCACCTTGCACTTTGTTGAGGTTTTGCTAAATATAGGCATGCTGCAAATGTCCTTGCAACCTTCTCGCTCAATTTGCCAAACTCTAATAGTGAGGTAAGCATGTGTACTTAACAAGTAGTGGATTGCAGTAACCCTGATGGTTAGTAAAGGTTCTTATGATGTCAGAACATGAAACGGTTGTTTCCTTCCTGAAAGAAGCCCTAAAGATGGCCCAATATATTTTTCTGCTTGACATTCCAGACTCAGCTCCATTTGTCAGATGTATAATGCTTAGAAGTTTAAACTTGCGGTATTTACAGACTTTAAACTTGTGGTATTTACAGACTTTGACAGGTGCAAGTTGTTATACCAACCTTACAGGTTTGCCAAATGCACAGACTTGAGATGTGAGGAAGTGCTTTACTTGTCTAAGATGATCGAGTGCCCGCAGTGCAGCAGAAGTGGTCAATGTGTCTGATGACATGGCAGTGATGCTTCAATTCTGCCAGCAGTGGCAGTTCAGTAAATACTTCCTCTTGGCTTTAATCACACTGCATACAAATGTGATTTGGTTTTCATATCCAATCTTTAGGAATGACTGTTTGCAATGTCATTTTGCAACTAATGACAAATCTATCTATCTATTTTTCTGATAAACTCTATGGCCTTAAAACATTCAAACTTCTGATTAGGTTTTCTCAATTCAGGTTTTACTTGGAGCAAGTCCATTCACTTGGCCACGTCCCAGAGCAGCTGTTTTCCAGATATGCAAATAAAGTTGTTAAGGTGTTTGTGATGAGTGGGGCATAGTTGCGGGAACATACTTTATCTGGGGGATGCTGGGGGTCACTAAGCTTTTAACTTTGTTACAGTACTTGAATGGGAATGACCAAAATCTCCACGATTACGTTTCAACAAATGTTATGTACATTTGTCAAATCTGACCACAATGGTCTTATACATTTTGCCTTTGTGCAGATACAAATATTTATTTTTCTGGTGGGTTTAGATAAAGTAGCTCTTTTAATCCTTAAAGGGATAGTTCACCCAAAAATGAAAATTACCCCTTGATTTACTCACCTTTAGGTGTATATGACATTTTTCTTTTTTCCTCTCATTCATTTTTCTGTATGGTTTTGAGACTCACAAATGCTGTGATTCATGCAGTAATCACATAACATTACGTTGTTGTAAAAATATAAGTGTTTTAGATATACAGTATTCTAGGACGTCAAAAACTGTTTTTTTTTTTTTTGTATGTTTTAGGCTAGAGACAGAAAAATAAAGTCATTGAAATTACAGTTTGTAGATCAAGTATTTAATAAACAGTTCTAAAATTACATTTCCACTTTTTCAAATATCAGAATATTGAAAGCTATATCATCTACTTCAAAATTGTGTGATCACAACAGTATTAGCTCTCCTGTCATACAGTATTTGGCCACAAGAGGATGAAAATTTGTGTTGATAAACAAAGATGAAGTGTGATTGTGGAAATGACGCTTTTGCTGTGAACAGCTTTTTTATCCTTCCTATAATAATTAATGCTCTGCATAGGGAAGGATGATCCAGGTTCAGTGTAAAAGATAGATGCTTTGAGGCACGTGCATGTCTCTCTTAGATGCCAGCGCTCTTCTGTGCCCTCAATCAGACTCTAATCCTGGATTAGAGGAGCATGTTACTGCTCTAGGATTACTCTTCTACTGGCTGCAATTTTATTACTGATTGTGTGCTACTGTGTTTCATCAGATACTCGATTCGGATACTGTTTATTCTCTTTTATATGTGTAGAATCTGACTGTCTCTCCTCTATTCCGCTTTCTCATGCTTCTATGTCCCAGGGAATGACTTTTATTAGAACTAATAGATTTAAACTTTTTTCCCCCCGCTTTTGTCATTAAAACTATTGGATACTTTTTTATCATGTGCTTTGCCCTTGTCCCAAACCAAGACTTTCAATTAAAAAATATCAAAATCCATCAGAAATATTAATTGCTACATTTTTTAAAATGATAATAATTTAAACAGAGAGAAATAATCATAAACTATTCTGACATTTATCGTGCAACACTTATTTGCATATAATGTATATTGTATATTACATAATAAGTAATGGTATATTTATATTTAATAATATTATATTTAATAATTTTAAGTGAAAATTATTTATATGTTTTTATCTGTCTATCCATGAACACCCTATAGCAACTGCCTAGAAACCACCTAGAAGACTAACACTCTAATAATAACTTTATTTTTATATAGTATAATTTATATATAATGTAAATTATATGTAGTTTTATATATAAATGAATAATATTATATTTATTAATATTTTATTGTGTGAAAAAGGAAATTATTTATACACTTTTTACGCAAGTTGTTGCATCATTTCCATGATGATTAACTATTTTTTCCACAACCAACAAAGACTTTTTCAACAGAGATAAAAGAGACAACCGTGTCAGTGAAGAATATGTATGATTAAATATGAGACATGATGTGTGGAGAAATCTAAGAAAAAATAAGGTAAATACTGTATCACTTGAACATTTTTATTATACATAATTTTCAATCAAGAAAAAATGTTAACTGTTGTTTACTATAATTATATGTAAATTATTGTTTACTGTAATTACAGCCCTAGCATTAACGTGAACTTGCTTTTTCCAGAAATGTTTAAAATGTCATTTTCAGCAGTAATTTCCACAATTGAAAGCTATGTGTGTGTGTGTGCACGCTGTATATATAAATTAACTTTTTCGATAAAGGGCAAATTTTTATAATTGCCTTATTAAATGTGTCTGTGTTGTCTTTTATTCAGTCAATCAGAATACTATATAATATAATCTATTCCAATCTATAGACTAACACTAGACTGTTTATCAGCATCATCAAAAGCCATCTTTACACTACAAAAGTGGAACAGAAGCTGCATATGATATGGCCTTTACGTTTATTTACACAAACGTTTTAATGCTTCTCAAAGTTGGCATACATGTATTTACACAACAATATAAATATATTGCCTAGTTGTCTTTTAAAGTAAGCCTCTCTTTTCCTTTCCCATCCCTGTTTTGTTTCCCTCTGTCCCTCCCTTTTCATCTCTCCATCATCTCTTTATGTTCTCCATGACTGTAACCCTCTATGAAGCGAGTTAAGATCTGTCTCACAGATTAGTCTGATGGTGGATCTATACACATCAACAGCAGCATGACACCCACAGCTGTACAGACACATACAATTACAGAAAAAACACTGCCACCTTATGCTTCATTTACAGCTAGAGCTTATTCAGAATGTAAAATACTCAGTAAACAAATATAAGACTACAATGTTAAGTTCCCGTTGACAGACAGAAAGTTCAATACAAACTTATTCTGTAACATCAAATTTGAATGGTAGAATGTCACGGTTTCCATATTAAGCAGAACAATACAGTTTTTAACACTGATAATAATAAGAAATGTTTCATTTCAGTATATAAATCAGTATATAAGCATGATCAACATGTTAGCATATTAGCATAGATTTCTTCTGTCAGAGATACAAAGTCAGTTGATCAAGCTGTTTGTGTCTAAGCAATGTGTTTGATTTTGAAGAAAAAATTCTTGGGTACTATCCTAAAAATGGAGGGCTAGTTGCTTTTTTTTAGCTATCCTGATGGTAGAGTTAGTTCTGGTTGTGATGCACCTCCCCTTCCCCTTCCCCATGGCGTTTATAGGTTACTGAAAGATTTCAGCAGCTGCATGTAAGAAGATTAGAGAGGAATTAACGTCATTCCTTTGTCATTATAGAAATAAATTGATATTTGGTTTAAATCGGAGGGAGGGGGATCGCAGGAGAGCAACATGGTCAGAAAAGCAGACAGGCTTTTAGGCAGGGTGGGAATCGCAGACCGCCAGCCGTATACACACTAGCACACATGCACAAAAGCAGAGCTCAAAGGATTTCAAATGGGACCGTGTAACTTTTACTGCCCGGTGTGGATCTAAGGGCCCTTGTGTAGGAATGGGCGGCACTACGAGAAGGAAAGGATGCTGGGTAAGGAACTCCAGAGAGTTAGACTGATCCCACACTGTCTCTCTATTTCTCCCCGCATCAGATCCTGGAGCTCAGGACTCGGTCATGAACTTTGCTCTCTCTGTACTGAGGCTGATGTGCCTGGCCTGGCTGTGGCCCGTCACCCTGCTCAAAGGAAGCAACACGCAAAACCAGCGCAGGCACAAGGACGTCTACCTGGGCGAAAACACACGGCACAAACATGGAGGGTGAGGATGCTTGCTCCTAAATGCATTTGCAGAATGCTCTGGTAGTTGGGACTTGGCTTTGTATATAATCAATCAGCTC